GCCTGGCCTGGCCGGGCCGGGCGGTAGTTGATCGGTGGCTCTTGCTGCTCCGTTAGCTGACTTTATCACCTTTGTGCACCTGTAAGGCAAACAGAAATTAAAAATGAAGTCATGAGAGAGATGGAGAGAGAGGGGGAGAGGGTAAGACCTTTATATGTGTATTGCACGTGTAGTGATATTTGTTTAAACAAGTGCGAACGTAACCAATTTTGTTTCATAGATCGACGCTATGTACACATACATAAATATATTTACTTTTTATAAAATGCACTGACAGATCGGACAAAAGACACGATCGAGCCAACACAAAAGGCTGATCAATGCATGCGCTTTGTGGACTCAGTTGTAAAAGTCGACGRAGTCGGCAAARCGTCTACCGAGATCTGTTTATATGTTTACACACACAGACAGCAGGTATAAGGTGTACGTGTGTGTGTGTGTGCCATAGATGGATCGATCAGTGAACTGCATGTTTAATTTACAATACACATGTACATTTATTTACAAGCATGTGTTAATTTCATTGTACAGCTTGTACAAGACATTTATATTAAGACTGAAAACGAGCGTATGTGTGTGGTAGTGTGTGTGTGTGTGTGTGTATTATATATCCATATATATATATATATATCTTTCTATCTACCTTGCTCTCTGTCTTTGCTTGTATATATATGCTGAATAGTCCTCATCAGTATAAAATCCTCTTTATTTTTCAAAATCTCGTTGTCAATTCAGACAAAAACAAATTACAATGAATTACCTTCAGTTGGCTTAAAACGTTGAGCGCTAACTAAAGCCAAAAATATTACTTTAGTTAAGTTACCAATGCACGTAATGTCGGTAGCTTCGATTGAGCTGAGAAGTCTTTATGGTTGACATAAAGCCAAGTTCAGGAAATTGTCGAACTGCATTTGATTTTATTTGTCTAGGGACTATATACATACGAGCATATAGATTAATAGCTATGCAAGTTGTTGGCTGTTTGTTCCGTTGGCTTGGCCAAATTGCCACCCATGACCACGAATCCAATGCCAGGGCCCGCCTTGTAGCTCAGCTCGTGATAGCCCGCATCATCGTAGTATGAATATTTGCCCAGCACAATGCCAGAGTCATCCGTGTGCTGGCTGTGGGACATGTGTTGAGTGCTAAAATCAAAATTCTGTGGCTGCCGCGGCGCTGGTGAAGGTGTTGGCGTTGGTGGAGGCGCTGCATCAGGCTGCAGCCAGCGCCACTTGGCATTCCGGGATAACGATTGCGTGCTGGCATATGGCCATTGCTGGGATTGTTGTCGTTGGTGTTGTTGTTGCTGCTGCTGGTATGCTGCTGGTATTTCGTAGTTGGGTGACAGATCATTTGTTTGCACAGCAACGTCCGTGTTGTAAGCGTAGCTCTGGCCATTCAACTCCATGTAAACCTGTGCGCCCTGCACCAGGCACAGCCAGCTGCTCAGGCAGAGCAAATGCAGCGAATGCAACAATTGGCGGCTCATTCTAGAGACTGAAAGTGAAGACAGCTGAGTGCTTCTTTATATATAACCCACTGTAACCACAATGAGCAACCACTTGGCATAGACACGCACAAATGTATTATGTATTTAGCATAAATAGTGTTACAGTTACAGTTACAGCTGAAACCACGCGCAACCGCAGTTGACATCGTTTCAGTTACTTATCTTAGTTGCGAGCACTTAACTAACTAACAACTATCAGCTATCCAACTACAACTAGTTATTGCCTTCTAGTGCTCCCTGGAGGCGGCCAGCTCGGCCATCTCGTCCTGGCGCAGTGCCTCCGATGGTGACAATGCGACTCGGCCGCCCAGTGGCAAAATGTCTATGTTCTGCACATGGGCTCGGACACTTTGACCTGGTGGCAGACCCACATACCATTTGCCCACATTCCTAATAATCGTGGAGTCGCGATGTCGTTGCACCCACTCTCGATCCCGATCGATTTCCAGTATGCGATGATTGGTGGTCACCAGCGGGGGCAGGGAGCCACCCACATCATCATCATTCAGRTTGTAATTGTCATCCGGTCCACTAGCTGCGCTGCCTGATCCAGTGGCTATGCCTTCAGCGGAACCTAAACCACCTATACCTCCTCCTCCTCCTCCTCCACCAGCCCCACTAAATCTATTGCGATTTCTTGATCCACTTGCATTGAGGCGATTCGTGCTTGTGGCACCTCGATTTCTGCTGCCTGCAGAGCTACTCTCTCTGTATCCACCACCTCCCCCGCCAGCTCCACCGCCACCTCCGCCTCTGCCTCCCCCTCCTCCATTATATCTACCTCCTCCGCCTCCTCCACCTCCAGTACCTGCTCCTCCATCATATCTGCCGCCACCTCCACCTCCACCTCCACCTCCAGCTCCGCCTCCATTTCCACCACCTCCATCATATCTGGTGCTGCCTCTTTGCGAGCTGCCTGCCGCATAGCCTCTTCGATCAGACTTCACTCCATCTGCGGTTGCAGATCCACCGGAGCTACTGTTCAATTCAATGTCATCTCCAGCATTATCTAACCCGTTTCCAGTTACTCTTATATCTATCTTTCCTCCGGCTTTTAAATAATCTGTGTCAGCTCCTCCGCCACCAACTCGTCCTCTACCTCCACCGCCACCACTTGGTCCACTAGCTCCACTTGTTCCTGAACCACCAATACCGCTGGCACCACTGCCACTGCCACCAACACTGCTCCCACTCCCACCACCGCCTCCGCCCAATTTTCCGCCCGCTCCCCGACCAAAATCATTAGCCAATCGGAAATCCGTGTCGCTTAGTCGAAAGTCCGCTACGGAGGGATTTATGTGAGTGCCAGGTCCCACTCTATTTTTCACCACTCGGTAGCCAATGCCCGCCCCAGCTATGTACTCCACAGTGCGCTGCACGCCCTTGTCGTCCAGGAAGGAGTAGGTGCCGCGCACTAATCCATCCGGAGCACGACTCTCGGCGCGTCGATGATCCGGACCAGCCGCAATCAGCTTGTAGGTGCCCGCAGGACCCCGCTGTACGGACATTTTGCCACGAGTCTTGGGATGCGCCTTGTACAGCGGACTGGAGTAGCCGACACTAACGGGATTATCAGGTACCGCATTGGAAATCTCAAAGCCCGTTCCAGCGCCAGCAGCATAACGCACGCTGTGCCGCTCGCCCACATCATCCAAATAGGAGTAGAGACCTGGATGAAGGAGTCAAGATATAAATGAGAAGCTCTTGTACAGCTTACTCTACCTACCTCTTATTCTATTGTTGGCATCATTCTCCTCGCTGCGAGACTGATCCGACGAGCGATAGCTGAAGCTGTAGGAGGGATCGTCGTAGGGGTCGGCGAGGGGATCATCGGGACTGCCACGTGGAAGTACCGGATACTGTGCCAAATCCATTTTACGATGTATTTTCGGTCCATTCACGCGAAAGCTGTGAAAAATTCGACATTCAATTAGCTGCTGAGCTATGATTAGCTAATTGCACTGGGAATCAAGATGCCAGATTGGGTAACGGCCGGGCTGACTGCTAAAATCGCTCGCCTGCTCCCATAAGCAATAACAATTCTGAATGCTATCTGATAATCGTGACAATCGATGACGTCTGCTATTACCACATGCCTCGTCGAGTATTCTCTATCAATTTCCATTCTACTTGTTATCTTTCGGCTGTGCATCTTAATGAATTTTCCGATTGCCATGTTTCGCTTACAATTTGTTAACGGCTTTTTGTATACTCGTTCGGCAAATGAAAAGATGTGTATATCGGTTTTACTAGTAAGTTCAGTATGATTGTACGACTACTGATGATTCAACAAACCAAGAAATTCAATATTTTCTACAGTATTTGGCTTGCTGTTGACCCTCTCTATAACGAGAACCACCTATCAACCCTTTTGGGAACATGAACGAGTATCGCACAGTCGTTAACTGATTTATCTCGTCTTCTGTTTCATTTGTTTGTTTTCCCAACTACCGGAGATTGCCACAAAACACCTCAAAATTGTATCGAACAAACGGCAACAACAAACGTTTAGGCAACCGACAACAACAACAGTTGAACGTTTTTTACTGTTGTACTTCCCCTGGCCACCGTCTATGGGCATCTCAAATGCTTTTAGAATCGACTCTGAGTGTGAAGCCCTCCCCTGGCCCCTTGGCACGCTTCAGTGGCGCTACGCCCGCTCGCACCTGTCGTATCGCTGATATACGAGACCGAGCAGATAACTTAACTTGGCTACCACACTTTAATTTAGCCAACTGCCAGCCACCTCCTACTGCTTCTTCCTCATCTTGTTCATGTGTTCGGCTTACTCACCCACGTGGTCCGGCTGTATAGACGGTCTCTTCGATCTGTCCGCTCGCTGGACTACGCGAACCATAACGACCTCGCACGATGTTGTCCGGAGTGCCAGAGGCGCTGTGATAGTAGCCGCCAATGTCATCATTTGCATGTCTATCCAAAACAGTAATTGCGTATGTTGCCCATGCGTGGTAAGGCAGAAAGAGACACAGAGAGACAGAGAGGGAGCGAGAGAGAGGTAGGTAGAATAATACACAGAAAACAGTTAGTCATTGCAAAATGGCATTAAAAGAGGTGTTAGAGGTGGCAAAAGGAGCCAGAGCGTGATACGAACTTTACCTGAGCTAAGGTGTAAAAAACTATAGACTAAATGAGCTATAGACTAAATATGCCTAACGCGTTGGGTAAATGTTTACAAGAACTAAAATATTTATTATAAGTAATATTAAATATAGATATGCATATGTATCGTGGGCAAACAAATTGAAATATTTATTAGGATCAATTATAAAATCCAGTTATTCAGATGACTGGCACACTTTCGAATGAAATATACAAAGCAGTGGAATATAATATTTGGCAGTAATTATTCTTCTCCATTGTTTCTGTCCAGAGGGACTTACGAATGGAGAACTGTCAGTTCAATAAGTATAGTAATCAACATAGCTGCAAGCTTATTTTCCCTTCTCATTTTGTGAATGAACCTCATAATCAAGCAAGGTTAAAGCTTCACTTTGTTCTGATTCCCTAATTTCTTCTTAAAACTCATCTGTCGCTCGAAGCAGTGGCATCATTTCTCAAAACGCATAACCGAGGCAGACAAGAGTAGACAGAAAAATGTGATAATTTCAATAGTTTTTATGAATCATAATATTTGGAAGATTTTCTCATTCAATAATTATTCAATATAATATATGATGCACATAGCTTGAAAAATTGCTCACAGAATTTTCGTCAGTTAAATCTCATTTCATATGCTCATCGCACATTCTCTATCTTCCATCATTCTTTACCCAACACTTGGTAGAATTTTAAGAAACTATTTAATTTACTCATAATATTTTTACTACATATTATTTAAATATATATATTTTTTTTAATTGTCCTTAAATTCTCTTCACAGTTGATGTATTTTGGGCTATACCGAAATTGAAACGATCCATCAGCGTTGATGGTATTATATTCGATTTCAGCTAAGACAGGATCACTGAATTGGCCAAATGCAGCGCATAAAAGCCAAAGCAGGCGCAACATTTCCATAAATTTTGCAATTCAAATGGCTTGCAGCTGGGCTAAACAACTATAAACGCCAATTAGACGCGCATCCTGCAAACACACACGCGCACACACTGAGAGGGACACTGGTACAGGTAGCTAGCTGTATAATGGAAGCACGAAATGCAGCGACAAGAACAACACGACGGCTGGCGACTGAATGCGCCAGAGCGTTAGATCTTTGTATTTAAATACAATTCTCAGGCGAGGCAGCCAACGGTGGCCAGCTAAGCTCAACTCGGCAGCAGCAGCAGTAGTAGCACCAGCAGCAGCAGCAGCACAAGCTGCTGCCACTTGTCTCACCTGACCACCCACCCACAAAAGTGGCAAGCCACGAAGATGAAAACAACATTTGTGTGCAAATTGCGTTACAAGACAAACAGAAGAGAGCTGAGGAGGGGAGAAGAGCGAAGGGTGAGCAGGTGAGAGAATTTGTTCTAATGATGGACACGCAAGTGGATTGTTCTGCTAGCTGCTAGCTGCTAGCTGTAAGCTGCTAGCTGCATGCCCGTTGCTTGGCCAACAATGCCTCGTCGAGTGCGCCTTGTTCAGTAAATTGCAGAACAGGAGAAGATTGGCAACAAAATAGAAAGAATAGTCGTGTCCAGCTGTCCACCTGTCTCTCTGTCTGTCAATTAGTTCTACGGCTGTTGCTGTGTCGTGCTTTGGCTTCCTGCTTGTTGACAATTTCTTCTGTTGCACGTGATCTATGCCACAAGCATTTCCTGTGCATTGAACCTGCCGCTGGCTGAGCGGGCAATTTGCAGTTGGGCCACGCCCACTCAGGCAGCCTCCATCATCTTTGGCCATTATAAATTTGCAGCGCTACGGAGTCTAGGTCAGTGTCTTAGCTGCAATTTTCTTTTCGTCTTGTTGCAATTAAAGGCAATTACGCCTTGGCCAGGGCAGGAAGAGTCTAGCCACTCTACAGTTCAAACACTTGCACAGTGGGACCATTCATTGAAATAGCAAAGATTTAGAAAACTCTAAAGCACAGTGTGCAAGAATTCAATTTGAGATTCTCGTTCTTAAATTTTTTGGGAAGTAATTCTTATGCAAATAATTCTTATGCTCCACTGTGCGGCTATAGTCACAATTTCCGCCTAGGATGTGCCCAAACCGAAAAAAAAATGGTTATCCAACCTTTTTTAATGAGTCCAATTAGCGAGTGCCGTAGCTAAAACTAGTTATTGGCCATTGTTCTCTGTCTTACAAAGAGCAGCAGCAAAATATGTCAAACATTTTGATTAGAACTTTGGGCAGAGGGCGCAGCTAGAACGAAAGACTTAAGACACAAACGTGGCATCTTGGTTCGCTGCTCATGATTTACTGACCCACAAGCTGTCCAAATGTGTGTGTTATGACTGCCGCATGCGAACTCATATCTTGATTAGAGTTTAGTACGAATTTCATTTACTCTAGTTGAATATGCTAATTTTTGGTATGCGGAAGAGTTTTTGGCTCCATCTATTGACCAATTGTGCAGTCAAATGGAGCAGCAATGGGGGGAAGCAACAATGTGGAATTGAAATGGAATATGAGCAGTTGATGGATGAAACAATGGAAATGAAACAATCGACGCCACTGAACGCCGTTAAGGACAAGTTGTTGACTGAAATGAATGAAACATTTGGAGGCAATTGCACGCATGGGAAATGTGCAACCAGTTGCAACTTTTGTTGTTGTTGCTGTTGCAGTTATTGCCATTGAACCACATACCCATAGAGCAAAACTGGAAATTCATATGCGTTTTCACTGCCAGCAACAACAGCCAGCAGCTGCAATCGAGAGGAAGGCCATCAACCAGCAATCCTGTAATTTCTCGGGAAAGTGAAAATGCTTTCGTTTTCATTTGAAAATTTTGCCAGCCAGTCAATAGACAGCGAGTGGCCGAGGCGTTCAGTTCGATTAGAGCGCATCAATCAAAACAGCATGAAAATTACACAACTTCTGCATATGCTAGCCGTAATAGCGTCCATTACGTCTTTGGAGTACGTGATACGCTATGAGGCGAAGAAGAAGCGCTGCTTGAACCCGCCACGCACGGCCAGGCGAGTGGAGTCGGTCATCAGGGACTGCCAAGAGGAGGTCAAGAATAAGCTGGTGACAGGTAAGGCTTGCAACTGATGCCTGAGCATGTTGAGTGATATGAAACGCACTCCAATAGAGGCCTATGAAATACTGAAGGAGCAGGTGTCTCAGGTGCAGCCACCGCTGCATACGGACGATGACAGCGTGGAGTTCATTGAGTCGATAGACTGGCCACCCGTCCACAGCGAAATACATTTACAGCACAGCTCCGAAGAGGCGCCACCCAATGCCAGCCGCTACGAGTACATTGTCTACGATGAGCCCGAGCCCCGACGTCGCATGGCTCGGCTCGTGCGCAGTATCAAGCGTCTGGACGTGGCCAGTGCGGGCATCTATCATCCCACGCTGGTGCCACTCGAAGATAAGCGCATAGCGGGCGTAAGTACTTCGGATTCGACTTTTCATTAACTCCAACAGATTTTTGCATTACGGCAATTAAGTTCAATGGCAGAACAGACGAAGTGCAACAAACGCCACTTGCCATTGATTTGCCGTGTGCAATTAAAAGCATGTACGAATTTCGCAGACGGGTATGGCCAACGGGCTGATGCACTGCTAAGGGTCCTCTCTATAAAAGAAATTGAACAGGATGAAATTTCAGTGGCGATATTTTTGTAGAATTTAGGAAAACTAAATTGAATCACAGTAGACCCCATATACTCTCTTTTATTTGAATAACAGAGAATAAGGGACAGTGCCTTCTTCATTCTCAACTGCCACATTCAGCTGTAAATCTCAAATTCCTTAAATCCAATATACCCTCCTCACTATGAACAGTGTACAAAAGTCAGGGTTGCTGCTGAAGCTAGACAATTGAAAGAAAAGCGCAGTTGCAGTCGTTGCCGTTGCCGTTGTCGTTGCTGTTGCAGTTGCAACTTTTTGTTCTCACACCGCACGCTAAATTTGATGGCTGAAAATTGGATTTTATGTTTGCATTTAATACACATTAGCTGCTTTTTATGCATCAGCAAATTGAATGCGGCTTACGAATACATTTTTTGATTGTGTGTGTGTGTGTGTGTGGGTTTTTTTTTTTGTAATTTCTTTCAGTGTCTGCTACACTGCGTCTATGCGAGGAACAACGCCATTGACAAGAACGGCTGGCCGACGCTGGACGGACTGGTTGGCTTTTACTCGGAAGGCGTACATGAGCACGGCTTTTTTATGGCCACATTGCGATCCGTTAATCTCTGTCTGCGGGCCATGACCAATAAATATCACGTGAGTCGTCGCGATCTCCCGCAGAAAGGCGAAAGCTGCGATTTGGCCTTCGATGTGTTTGACTGCATATCAGATCAGATAACAGGATATTGCCTGGATCAATATAGTAAATATTAAGTGGGCATTAAATTACTTAATGTTGGCTAGTTGTATAAGTATTTTGTTAAGTTAGTCTGAAGATTATATCATTTTCGCCAGCTTCATTTATTGCATATTGTTGAAAGCTATTTAATTATTATAATGGTAGAGCGCTTCTAAAAAAAATGTTTTTCCGTGCTTTAATGTGCCATAACAGAAAATGCGCATACATTCTTATTTAATTTATAATATATACAAAATTCAGTTTATATATATATGTGTGTTAAAGAAGCATAATTATTTACTGTTTCCTTGCTTTTTAGTTTTAAACCTGTCTGTCTTTTGTTAGTGCCATCTATTGTATGTTGCCAGCAACTGCATATTGCACTATTGTATACAAGCGTAAGATGGCGCCAGTGTGTCTCCTATGTATGCATAGTTTGCCGTCTGTGAGTTTACCATTACAGGCACCACACAAGAAAAGTTCCATTTTATTTCTGTAAATTATATTGTTCAATATGTTACATATATCATTACACTACATGCACAATTGAAAAAAGTAGCGCCATTCAACAGGGTGACCATTTTTTCTAGTATTAAATTCATATTTTTGAATGTGGTATATTAGTATTATCTGCGTACGGTCACATAGGGCCGCGAGTTGGAACGCGAATTGTTTGGAGCTGGATTGTACGAAAAAGTAATAATTAAAATTAATTTAAAAAAGTGAAATATATAATGCAATATAAAAAAAAAAATAACAGTTAAAATTCTGTTACTACACCCTTTAAAGTATATACTACTACCACTCCTCGATTTCGATTCAAATCTGGTATTCATCCAATTGAGGTCAAATTCGTGGAATAACTGTGAAACTTCAGCAATTTTTATGTCCATAAATTTTGCTGCAAGCCTGTTAAAAAAGTGAACTGGAATGGAAAATCATAATTTCAAGTGCAATGATGCAGCTTTAAGAATAATTTTCCTTGTCCCTCAATATAGAAAGCTTATATAATGCAAGTGGGCGTTTGTTTTTTTGCGCGTGCGCTTTCTTAAAATCTAGAAAAAGTGAAATTTCTCAATTGGTTCAACTGCCGGCCAATCTACGTCACATGTTTTCATAAAAGTCGTCTGTGAATATTGCAATGATGACGCAATTCTGCGTTAGTCAAATCGCAGAGTGCCGCGTGTGCTTTTTGTGCCCGTGAATCGCCATGCTTAAAGCATTTATAGTCGTGCTTGTTGCTACTGCTGTTGTTGCTTCCTTTCGTTTTGCGTAAAGAACGGTAGCATGGTTAGCATTTTTGGTGTTCAGTATGTGTTTCTCTCGCTTATTGGAGATGCGCAACAATTATATTGATTGCTATTGGTTGTCACTGTGAATGATAGCAACAGGTAGCGTGATCAGTCACAGCCAAGTCACCGACTCAGCTCTAGTTGGTGTTGCTCAATGAACGCACGCGGTCTGCCAAATTACAAATGCTAGCGGCTGTAAGTGTGTGCATATGTGTGTGTGTGAGTGTCGGAGTCGTCCTCTATCAACTGAAGTTGTTTTGCATGTGCGATTGTACTCTCCAATTCTCTTTTAAGTTTGGGGGCTCGTCTTGTCTCCACTTGCCGCTGCAGCTGCAATTTGCCTGACCAGCTGGTTTGTGTCTTTGCTAGCTGACATATTTCTCCCATTGCCTACAAAAAGCAGCTGGCAAAATGCGCATTTGAACTTGAAATTTTTACTGATTAGCACGATAGGCGCCTACATGTATAGATTCCTGCATAGCTATATATGTAGTTTAATCAACTTTGATTAATATACCTGCATAATTATAACATACGGCGATAGTACCCTGTCTGACTCCGCCCTCCCTCTCACTCTCTCATTCTCTTTCTTTCAAGCTTAGGCGGGCAATTTCAAAGGGTGACGAACATTTTCGAATGTAGAGCGGACTTTGAAATGATTGTAAACAAAATCTTTCGGTAGAAAATGGAACCTAAACACACATACACATATTTATCTATATATAGGTGTCGTTGACGATATGATAAGGGCATATTGAAGTACGATAAGTGATTATTATCAGTATGCGCTTGGCCCCTTTTACACACACACATACACACACACACACACATAACACAGAATATATGTACGTATGTATAGGCACTTTTATCTATATCTAGCTTAGTTGCTTTTTGCGCTGTCATGTGCCTTTTTATCGCTGATTGTGTTTTTCTAACGTTTCGTTCCAACGTATACAAAACAACAACAAAAATTCGATTTCTACAAAAATGTTTCGAGTGTTGTTTTCTACTCTCTTCGCTGCATACAGTTCGAGGTCTGGGTAATCTTTCGGCTGCTCTGCGCCTCAACGTTTAGTCGACGCGTAGCACTCAACACGAACAAACCGTTTGGCAGCGTATCTCTCAGATACGACGTGACGAGTAAATATCTTTATATATTCCGTTCGTTTTTCATTCCGAAAGCAAATTTTTCGTCAGCTACGCATAATTAAAGAGCTCAGTACATCAATTAATATTCATATAGAAAAGTAGCAGTGCATTTGCAAATCGGAAATATAGCATTAAATTGTCATTAAAGCAGCTATAAATATATTTATGTATATATGTATATAATCTTAATTAGCAGTAAATGTATATAAATACATAATATATGTATTGTTACGCTATCATTATAAAATATATGACAGCATTCTATTTAGCTGACTCTCACGCGAGTTTTTTGCACTTATGTAATCAGTTTTCGTAACCGAAACGTTAGCGTTGACGTCGACGTCGACGTCGACGTCGACGTTGTTTGTGCGACAGACAAAAAGGAATTGCAAAGAAAACGGATAAAAAAAAAAAAATAAAAAAACATTTTGTATGTGAAAAATAAAGCAAAATAAGCAAACAGATAAATAACGGCACACAAACCAAAGCAAACACACTCAGACATTGCCAATGCTAATGCGAGAAAGAGATGCAACTATTCGTTGCCGAACTAATTACAATCGATTTCGTTTGCTTTGCTGCACTTTCAAATACCTCTTAAGCGCTTATGTGAGCGCTTGGTGACCGCCACACTAAACCGGTTTGCATATACATATGCAATGTACTGTGTTTAACTCACATAATGTGGGTGTGTTGTAATCGCTGACAAATTCGAGTGGCTGTTCAATGATCTAAATGATGTTTTATGTGCCCAGACACAGAGCTCGAGCTTAAAGTCAAATCAAACCACGCGTCGCTGATAAGCGCATGTGACCTGACTTTCGTGCCTCGCCTTCTTTTGCCGCGACTATCGCACGCGTTTCGCCTGCCTTATCTGGTCTCAAAAATGAATTTCATTAATTAATTGAAACATTTGCAAATGCGACTGCCGAAACGTTTTCCACTTGACGCATTTTCTTCTACTTGGCTTTAGATAACGTATGGGGGGCTGGTATTGGGGGTTGATATTGTTAATCTTATCTGATTTCTTCTCAACCAGGCCAGACAAATAAGGCAAATGATATACGATTGTTGTTTCACAAAATTATCAGTCAGGCTGACAATTGCGCAGCACAAAAAACTGAAAAAACAGAAAAAACAAACCGAAACAAGCCCAAAAAATTATAAATATATACACCTATGTATATGTTTATCTATATAATACATATGTAGAACATTTCACCACAGTGCAGATGACTGCTTTTTTTTGGCCATCTATCAAAAAGGCGAAAGCAAAACGAGCGAACGTCAAGCAACCTACGTCTTCTCTTTGAAACGTCATCAGAAACTCAGATTGGGTCACGTGTCTGACCGAGAGAAGGAGAAAGACAGAAACAGAGAGCTTTGGCTATATCTATAGCTATAACCCTGGTCTGGCCAGCAGTCTAGACTTTTATCTCATACATTTACATGCACATATGTATGTATTTGTATTAATCATAGACTTTGTTAACTTGTTTTCTATTTCATAATCACCATTAGTTGGCAACAAGTTTGCGAGTTTTTGCGTGAAATGACGTCAAAGCCAAACATATTTTGGCACTATATATAAATTTGTCACTTTTCTTGCGCCGGACTGTGCATTATCTTATCAGGCTTACAAAATACGTTCACTGTCTACTGTCTGCCGCCTCGCTGCCTTGACTGCATAGCAGTTGTCCAAACACAACAACAACAATACACAAACAGCAACAAGTTTTACATTAGCTATTTGTCAACAAACAAGCTCTCAGTGAAGCCTAATTGAAAGCTGTTGCTGTAATTGCCTTATCAATAGATCAAGTGTCATGCTCTCAGGCCTATTGCGTGTGACAGTCTATTAATATACTCTCTATTATAATTTCTATTTCCTTTTGCAGTTATATTTTGTAAAGCCACAAAATGCATAGAGCACACACGGCCTTTAGTCTGGCGTTATCGCCCATGGCGCATAAAAACTTTGCCACATGGCTGCTCAACAGCAGCAGCAGTCAGAAGGTAAGCGAATAATCATATGTATTTGAATGTGTATATATATATTAATATAATCATTTGATTATTCAATAGCTGATCAAGGCCAGCGCAGCATCTGCTGTGCGCACCTACAATTCAGCGGCTGCGGAACCTTTTGCCAATGGCAGCACCGCATCCTACGTGGAGGAGATGTACAACGCCTGGCTGCGTGATCCCAGCTCTGTGCACACTGTAAGTGGAAAGTTTATTTTAGAATGCATGGCAGTTCAACACCCTTGGATCGTAAATTAAACATGTTTCTTTGTTTCACTAAATAAAATAGATTCAGGTGGAGTTGACAGAGTTGAACAGTCAACTTGCAGCTGAGCTTTATAAGCTAAAAGTAAATTAAGCCATTAAGCCATTAGCTCTATTTATAATACTTTCTGCATATTTGTTTACTTGTATACATCATATGCAAAAAAAGCCCAATTAATTATAGCTTGAATGTCAAATAATTAATGATTTGCTTATATGAAATCACTTATTCGAGCGTAAACTCATAAAATGTGAATTTAAAGAGAAACATGTTTTTTTTATAACTCGGTTCAGGTTATTGAACACCTTTACGACTACCTGTATGCATTTCTATATACACTTTAATTACAACATTTGTATTTGTTTCCCGTTGCAGTCCTGGGATGCCTACTTCCGTAGCAACTCGTATGTGAGCCCGCCCAATTTGGCGCCCGTGCAGGCAAACACGTTGCCATTGACGGCCTTTAATTTCGGTGGCGCTGTCAGCGCTGCGCCCGACTCCAAGACCATCGATGACCATTTGGCCGTGCAGGCCATCATTAGAAGCTATCAGGTATGATTGTGCTGGATCCATAGTACAACAACTGCTACCCCCTATAATAGAGTTGAACAGTTGAGATTGCAGAGCAAAGCGTATCTATTTGTTGGCGCTTTTCGTTTCCTTTTGTTTCGTGTACATTTCGTTGTTCTATTATAATTTTCATTTAGGTCTTAGTTTAATGTTTACGTTTATGGTTTTTATTAGAGCTGCCCGCCCACACATTTTGAACCAGTTTTCTGTGTTTCATCAAAAGCAGAGTCACACACACACACTCACACACACCCGCATACAAGTAGCTTGAGAACTTTTATGTTATTCCCCCAACTCATTCCGATGCCCTATATACCTTTTCATTATGCGATTATTGTTTACATCTCCAGTAGTTCTCTTTTTTTGTATGTGTAATTAGTTTGTTTGGAAAGTTGGAGCACATCAAGAGTTGGGCATCAAAACTAGTTTCATCTCAGTTATAACTTATCTACGTTCATGATTAGTTGATGTTTAGGATTTCAACTTTTATGTTCTTTGTCATTGATTTAGCACAGTTACTACAGTTTGCTCAGATCTCTGATATGGTAATCACTTGGCTTTATTTCCTTCCTATGCACCACATTTGATTTCCCTTAAACATATATTTTTCGTCTATTGATGGGTAGTTAGTTGAATACAGAACGACTTAATAACCATATTAAACTCTACATATCTGTGTATAATCAAATTATAAATATATCTATGTGTATGAACATATGCAYATGTATATATACTATATACTATATATATATAGTCACGTGGTCATTTGGCATCTGATCTGGATCCGCTTGGAATTTTAACACGCGAAAAAACCGTTTGCAAGGATGGTCTTGCACGTCGTGCTAATGAGGATGTGCTCAGGCAGCACTCTGGGTTTTTGTTTGGTAAATTCTTTTTGCAAAAATCTATACAAAAAATCAATTTCTAACATAGACACCCATTCCACGCCCTCAGTTGCACCCATCCAAACCATTTATACACACAACACGCTTTGAAGCCTACTTAACCCATTCGTTAATATACTTAAATATTACATGAAATTCGGAGTTGATGAAAAAGGCACCTAGGCAGGGTATAGTGAACTTTGTTACCTATATTATAGATCTTAAATTAAGTCAGTTGTCTCTCTCTCTCTATATATAGTCGAAATACGTTCTTCTTAAGTGTAAGTGTATGTAACTACGTCGGTGTTTTGGCTTTTTATTCTCGCAGTTATCTTTATCTATATATCTATCTGTTGTCCTAGTGCACTCCATAGAGTTTCGTTGCTCACTTCGCTTTTAATCGTTATATAATCGAAGTCTTTCAAACCCAAACATAACTAAGAACAAAAAAAAAAGAACATTTGCTACGCTTTAAATCTGCTTTCTTTGTTTTCTGTCAGCAATTTAATTTGTTTATGCTTTATTTATTTATTTTTTTTTTCGTTTTTTTTTATGCTATATACAATTTATTAATTTTTATTATATTTTTCATTTCATTTTATTTTTAACTGCTTTCTAACCCGCCCAAAAAATGCAAAAATGCTATAAATATATATACGATATATAAAAACTGCAATCGAACGCAATTCGTCTATTCGTAACAAAATCAAAATTGAAACAAATCAAACGTTTAAACAAATTCAAAATTCTTTCTCTCTCTTATATTATGTGTGTATTGTGCAAATTAAACAACAACAACTACTACGACACGTACAAAACAAAACTTAAATAATACCCTGTAAACATACACACACAATCAAAATGTAAACTCACACACGTTAGATTCGAGGACATAATATTGCTCACCTTGATCCACTCGAAATTAATACACCAGATTTACCTGGCAACAGCTCGACGAAAACCATTTACGCTAATTTCAGTTTTGGTAAGTAAGGCTTAGAGGCTTAATAAAAAATAGAAAACAACAAACACAAATGAAAAGATAGGCGGAATGCGTCCTTAATACGCCTAATCCGCCTCCAAACAACARCACACACACACACGCCACACACAACAGATATAAACAACAAATGAAAACAAAGAAAACAAATCATTGTCCTTTTGGTTTCTTAACTTGTGTTTTGTTCCTCTTATTTTTCGTACTATATATATATGTATATAAAACCTGCCAATACAACGTTGTCTTGTGTACCATAGTAAATCCCCTTTCATTTTGTACCTTTCATGCACACAACCAAATTAAAAACAAAATCAAATCAAAAAACCAAACTCCCCGATTTCTAGAACCAAGTAAATATCCAATAAAAATTAAATATATATACATATATTTACTATTATATATTGCTCAAAGTAAATTCTCATAAATTATTTTCATTATTGTCATGCAAAACTTTATTTGTTTTCCTCCTTATTTTCCATCTTCAGTTTTCCGATTAGATTGCATGTCGTCAATTGTTAAGTGCATAAATAAATATCGCTATTGTTGTTAGCTAAAATCGTGACAGAAAGTGAACAAGTTATGTAATCAAATGAACCAAAAACCAACCAATATAAATATTGTACAAGGAATATGATGTCATGCATGCCTTGGTGTTATTCAGATACATACAGACATATATGTATATGTGTATATAATCCTAAGAACAAAGAACAAGCAGAGAACTTAATAAATATGTAATTACTTACATATAGGACAGATCAGCATGTATCTGTACATAATATATATATGTAGAATCACAATTTACAGACAATACAATACAATCATTACACTCCGAATTTCAAAAAACGCCTACAAAAACTAATCAGCATCATTTAAAGAAACGTATCAAATCAAGTTCAATTACTAATAGTTTTATCCTCTATAAAAACAAATCCCCAATCCAAACCAAAAACATAAACAGGTGAACAGGACATGGAACGTCAGTTCAAGTTGCCCAGCACCACCTTCATTGGTGGCGATGAGGCCTCTTTGCCACTCAAGTAAGTCGAATCTCTAGACACCACCTTATATGCAGTCATATTCATCGTCCTCTTCCTTTTCAGGGAAATTCTGAATCGTCTGGAGAATGTTTATTGCAATAAAATTGGCGTTGAATTCATGTTCATCAACTCCTTGGAGCAGTGCAACTGGATTCGCAAGCGCTTTGAGACGCCGGGCGTCCTCAGCTTCTCGCCAGAGGAGAAGCGTTTGATTTTGGCCCGTTTGACGCGTGCCACCGGCTTTGAAGCCTTTTTGGCCAAGAAGTACTCCTCGGAGAAGCGTTTTGGTTTGGAGGGCTGTGAGATCATGATTCCAGCCTTGAAGGAAATCATTGATGTGTCCACTGAGCTGGGCGTCGAGTCTGTCATTATGGGTATGCCGCATCGTGGACGTCTGAATACATTGGCGAACGTCTGCCGCAAGCCCCTCAATCAAATCTTTACTCAGTTCGCTGGACTTGAAGCTGCTGATGATGTAAGTCTTAAAGAGAAAGTAACATTTGCCAGCATGTCTTTAACTTTCCCCTTTCTTTCAGGGCTCTGGTGATGTGAAGTACCATTTGGGCACATATATTGAGCGTTTGAATCGTGTTACAAACAAAAACATCCGCCTGGCTGTTGTGGCCAATCCTTCCCATTTGGAGGCCGTCGATCCTGTTGTGCAGGGCAAGACTCGTGCCGAGCAATTCTATCGCGGTGACCAGGAGGGCAAGAAGGTGATGTCCATTCTCATTCACGGTGACGCTGCCTTCTGCGGCCAAGGCGTTGTCTATGAGACGATGCACTTGTCGGATCTGCCCGACTACACGACGCACGGTACTATCCACGTGGTGGCCAACAACCAAATTGGCTTCACCACAGATCCACGTTTCTCACGCTCCTCGCCCTACTGCACGGATGTTGCGCGTGTCGTCAATGCACCCATTTTCCACGTCAATGCTGACGATCCTGAGGCCGTGATGCATGTGTGCAAGGTGGCTGCCGAATGGCGTGCCACTTTCCACAAGGATTGTGTTATTGATTTGGTTGGCTATCGTCGCAACGGCCATAACGAGATCGATGAGCCGATGTTCACCCAGCCCCTTATGTACCAGAAGATCCGCAAGCACAAGAATTGCTTGGATCTGTATGCTGATAAGCTGATTGCTGAGGGCACCGTTACCGCTGAGGAGGTCAAGTCTGTGGCCGCCAAGTACGAGAACATTTGCGAGGAAGCCTTTGCGCTGGCCAAGACCGAGACACACGTCAAGTACAAGGATTGGTTGGACTCACCATGGTCTGGCTTCTTCGAAGGCAAGGACCCACTGAAGGTGGCGCCTACTGGTGTCAAGGAGGAAACTCTGATTCATATTGGCAATCGTTTCTCTTCGCCACCACCCAATGCTGCTGAATTCGTTATTCACAAGTGAGTGAACCACACAAACTAATCCGCATCTCAATTACCAACTGTGCTCTTTTCCTTATTCAGGGGTCTTATGCGTGTTTTGGCTGCTCGCAAAGCCATGGTTGATGAGAAGGTCGCCGATTGGGCCTTGGGTGAGGCCATGGCCTTTGGCTCGCTGCTGAAGGAAGGCATCCATGTGCGTCTCTCCGGCCAGGATGTCGAGCGTGGCACCTTCTCGCATCGTCACCATGTGCTGCACCATCAGCTGGTGGACAAAGCCACCTACAATTCGCTGCAACACATGTATCCGGATCAGGCGCCCTACTCTGTATCGAACAGTTCGCTGTCTGAGTACGCTGTCCTGGGCTTCGAGCACGGTTACTCTATGACCAATCCCAATGCTCTGGTGTTGTGGGAGGCTCAGTTCGGTGATTTCTGCAATACGGCACAGGCCATCATCGATCAGTTCATCTCCAGTGGCCAGTCGAAATGGGTGCGCCAATCGGGCTTGGTTATGCTGTTGCCCCACGGCATGGAGGGAATGGGCCCCGAGCACTCGTCGTGCCGCGTCGAGCGTTTCTTGCAGATGAGCTCCGACGATCCCGATTACTTCCCACCCGAGTCCGATGAGTTTGCCATCAGACAATTGCACGACATCAACTGGATTGTGGCCAACTGCACGACGCCTGCGAATTTGTTCCACATCTTGCGTCGTCAAATCGCTTTGCCCTTCCGCAAGCCTCTAATTCTGTGCACGCCCAAGTCGCTGCTGCGTCACCCGGAGGCAAAGAGTCCCTTCAGCGATATGAGCGAGGGCAGCGAGTTCCAGCGCATCATACCCGATCGCGGACCCGCCGGTGACAACGCCAGCAACGTTAAGAAGGTCGTCTTCTGCACAGGTCGTGTCTACTACGACCTGACTAAGACGCGTGCCGAGAAGCAGCTGGAAAAGGACATCGCCATCGTGCGTGTGGAGCAGGTGCGTCTTTGGGTTATTGACTTTAAATGCATTTGAATTTCACTAAATTGAGTTTTCGCTTCATAGGTGTCACCCTTCCCCTTCGACCTGATCAAGGAGCAGGCCAATCTTTATAAGAACGCAGAGCTTGTCTGGGCCCAGGAGGAACACAAGAATCAGGGCTGCTGGACATATGTACAGCCCCGTTTCCTCACCGCCCTCAACCACAGCCGTGATATCAGGTGCGTAGTTAGCTTTAAGCAACCATCCAAGCTACACAGAGAAACACAGAAATCCGCCCCATATGCCACAAGATGCACTCTTCTTTACTCTTGCTCTGTCTCTTATATTTCTCTCTATGGATTTGTAAGCTGATTTGTGCAGCTCTTTCTTTTCTTTCGTTGGTTTCCTGTGGTTTCAAATAATTTAATTTCAATCTACTGCACTTAATGCATTCTGGTTATTTTATTATTTAGTCACTCTCTTTAAGTGCTCTGAAGCACTCTCTCTCTCTTTTGGTATTCTTTGAATTTGATTTGGTTCTCTCGTAAATTTAAACTATTTCCAGTTGTTGCCTTAATATCACATTTGTTTTTAACATTCCTCACACTCATCGCACTCAGCACTGCCATCGCTTAAGCTAATCTTTTTTCCAGCTTTTACTAATTTTCATTTAAGTATCGTAGCGTGTTCAGAGTATATCTATCTTTACCTCTTAGCTGCGATCCTTCTGTTACTCTCTTCCTCTCTATCTCTCTTCGAGCAGACCAACTCTTAGATCTCTATACAAAACACACACACACACACACACTCATAGTGCTACAGACTGTTACAAAAGTGACTCACGTGTGAACTAGTTCATTGGCTTTGACTTAAACCAACCAGACACAACACACACACAACAACACACGCCTTTGCACACACTCTTATACATACACATATCTCGTATCATATATTTTATAATTTGCATGGCTTCTTTAATTGTTAATTTCTTTATTTTTGATCTCGAACTATTATTATTTAGAGTTTTGTTATCTTATCTTATTTAACTGTTGATGTTACCTAAGATCAAGAGTGTTCTATTTTTGTTCCTTGATTTCCTTATATATCCCTTCCGTTTGTTTGAGTACCAATTGGCAAAGCAAATATACGTAATATTCAATGTTGAACAAAGAAAAAAAAAAAAATCAAAAACCAAAAACTTGTCCTCTCTTTCTCTCTCTCTCTTTCTCTCTCTGTGTATGTGTTATTGTTACAGCCAAAGCGATGAACAATCCGCCTTCTCCAATACAACTAATACTAATCAAGAATCCGATACCGATTCCGATTCTAACTCCGACAAAAAATCGAAACCCTGGCTAAGTCGCATGTTTGCCAGCGATAAAACTGATACCGTTACAACGGGATCGGGCACCGTTACGGGCGAGTTTAATGCCGCCAAGCATTTCGATTTAAAGAACGTACGACACGATTTCAATAGGCCCGCAGGCATTGCGGCCGCCCCCGGCGTGCGCATAGCAAAAACCGGACGTAAAATTAGGTGAGAGGGCAGAGATATCTCGTAATACTACTGCATACTCGATGCGCGTCAATTGAACTACTTAACCTGCCTAACTATAACTATCTACGATATCTATATCTATCTACTATCTACTATCTATCTATATCTATCTGCAAAATATAACAACCAACAATTTGAACAACTCCAAATTCTAACTTTAATACCCTCGTTACGAAATTTTTGGAGTATCTGCATTTTGTTTTTAATACACAATCCTTCCCCTCCATTTGTACCATTTGCGTTTCTTCTTTGTTTCTCGTTTGCCGTTTCTCATTCAAGCGCAATTTGGCATGTCTTTTAATTTCATAAGCAAAACAACTCCTATACTCGTTTTGCTCTTGTTCTACTATCGTTCTGTAATACTAATCCATTTTACTCTAGCACCCTAAAGTTCTTTCTTTTAATACTTACTATCTAACTTTATGTTTCTTATATTACTTTTACTTCTGTTCTAAGCACGCGCATTTTTTGTATGTTTTTTATTCACTGATATTACGTACCCCCAAGCTAAAGCCTTACTGATCCATAAACGTTTGTATGTTTGTTCAATGTTTATGTATAACCGGAGCAAACAGACATACACACATATCTACCTACGTATACATCACAAAATACAATATTTATATCGTCAAGTTACAAGACAGATCTGCATAGATACTGAAGAACTATTCATAGACTGAACTTCATTCCAGCAAAAGTTGCTTCTTGAATAATTCATTTGTTATAGTTTTTCCTCATAGGTCTTATGTTTACAGGCTATGTGTATATATTTATGTATCTAAGGGCTGGGCTTTTATTATTGTCGTTGTATTACTTCTTTTGTGGGCAGGTGATCCATTGATTAGAACTACGCTCCATTAATTTTGTTAATGCATTATTTCTAATATTTTGCGCTGGCTTAACAAACTCATTTTCTCATGGCCTTTTAACTGAACTACCATATAAACACATATATAAATATGGAGATCATAAATCTAGTGCATGTTCTAGTCTAACCAAATCAAATTTAGTCCAATTGTTATGTGTACTCACTGACTGATGTCGACTGACTATGCTTTACTATATATATTTATGATCCCAACTTTCCACAGCTATGCTGGGCGTGCCTGTGGCGCTTCAACTGCAACTGGATCGAAGGCCCAGCATATTCGGGAGTTGAACGCCCTGCTCAATGATGCGATTTCGACTTAAGAGGAACATGCAAAGAACTTTTGGAATGTGGATCAATCTGGATGATTAACTAGAGATGAAGTGAAATTGAATATTAATTATGATTATATATTTTGTAATAGAAACGTCTTTGATACGATTTTTTCTGACGATGAAATTGTTAAGTGCATATTGTGTGAAAGTAATGAAATTTTAAATATTAGTTTAGTCAAATTGATGAAAGTGAGCAAAAAACAAACAAACAACAACTAGAACACAAAATGTTTACAAGCTTAGCAATTAAAACAAAAACCAACGGAAAATCCACACACCAAACAAAAACTAAAACAGAACAATCTTTAAAGTGAAGAATTCAAATTCTAATAGTTAAAATACATAGTCACACACAAAATCACACATCAGTTCTATATCTATATAGAAGAAGATAAAGCAAATACATTTTCAAAATGAATGTAATTTTATTTTATTTTTATGCTTAATTATTTATTTTATTGTATTATATATTAATTACCTATCTCAAAAAGAAAAAAAAAGAAAGTCTATGAAGAAGAGAAGAGAGAAATACCTAAGTGTTTTTGTTTGCCTTTTGCGTAGGTTATACAATTTTGTTTTTAATAAACTTAAAGAACATATATACTATATATGTGTATGATGTATATATGCATATATGTTAGTTGACTCACGAGGGGCGGATCAACAAGATTTATCAGGGACTATTTTGCATCAGTTACTAAGTATATGGAGTGTATCAGAGAATGTAATTGGGGAATGCTTTAAGTATTTATACTCTCACAATTTTTGAATATACTTAGTATTAAATGAAAAATGCGATACATATACATACATACAAATACCTATATATATATACATATATTTTTTGTTGGGTTGGTTCACTAGCCCGCCTGCACTCTTTTTGCAGCACTTGTGCTATAATTGATTAATCGATGTAGTACTCATATTGCATGACATGCACCATTTTGTCGCACCAATATTTGATATTGAACGTAGAGTGATACTAAAAAAACTTTAAACTATTTTACTCGCGAGAGAGAGTATATAAGAGAGTATAAGTGTGTGTCAACAGAACGAAATCAACTCTTCTACTCTATAAACCTTTTAATATTTCTAATCTAAAAACAAAAAAAAAAAAAAAAAAACAAAAAAACAAAAAAAAGAAGAAAAAGAAACAAAAATAAACCCCTACTTTGCACCAGCGATAAAACTTGCTAAAAGTCTAAAGTATCGTAAGTAGCATGTTAACATTTAAAATTTACTAACAGTTAAAAAAGAAGAGTATATGTGTAAAGCGGATAAAAAAATAAAGAATATATATATAATTAAGCATAAATAAATGACTTTGATTGGGATTTACAATGCAATAAATACAGAGGAATTGCGCAGCTAGGCGTTAATTCAATGATAAGAAACAAACTTGCATTTTTTATCTAAAAACCTCGAGCTAATTATATTATAAATGCCATTCTGCTTGAAATGACTAACACTAATTATGATAACAAAAACTTTACAGTCATGTCATGGAGCATGAGAGAGTGTCAAGAGATTTGTCAAACTTTGTGTTTGGTCGAAGTTAAGTCTTGCTCTGAAGAGACTTATAATTATACTTGTACTTAATCGACTATTCAGTCTCCCGTTTCTGACAATATTAAGTCTTACCTCTCTTACTTGTAATTTTTACCACCTAGGAGATTTGTCAGCTTCTGGTCCTCCTAAGAAATATATTTATATACACTTAAACTCATCATTCTCTTTATAATACGAATCGTTGCCCTCCGATCTCTCCCTTTAATTTATATTAACACTACTTATAAAATTATAAAGATTTAACCTAAGGTTATACTTATAAAATTCATACTCCTTTCAAGACTCGTTTTTTCTTAGTTTATGTTAAAGCAAACAAGCTTTACAGCTTATCAGTTAGCCTAGCTTTTTCGCTACAAGTCGTTTGTCTCGTCTAGATTTTCCGTTTTTCCATAGGAACTGAAGCACGTTGCATTTTCCATCTTTCCAGTTTCCATTTTCACTGTCATTCTACATTCGCAGTATATCTATATTCTCTGTGCGCCTCACTTTCACATCAACTGGAGCCTCTGCTATGATCGTCTTCTTCTTCTTCATCATCGTCGTCTTCTTCCTGTCTGACAACTTAGACAACACAAATTGGGCAAGTAAAACGCTCACTTTTGGCCAATTTTCACACAGGTGGGCAGCAACGAACAACTAGCCTACGGACACACACACACACGCACATACATACATATATAGTTTTATGGACAGCCGTTATAGCAATTCCATTGAACATCTTCGAGCGTTTTACTTTACTTTCTAATGTCCGGCGCAGCATTTCTTGTTTGTGCTGATCGAGCCCCTTGGGCGATAAAAAGGCGAGAGTACATTGGTAATAACATGTTTTAAATTCTTTATTGGGGAAGATTTTTTTATTGCCAAACAAATGGGAGCAGCGCAGCTGTCATGCATTACAGTGCTTGGCAGTATAAGGATGAACTTAGCCTGAAAGCTCTAGCTGCGTCACAGCTCATTGACTGTGCTCTGCACACCCTATGAGAAGCCATCATAAGTAGCAGTGGCTCATACATTCTTTACTTAGCAGAGAGAAGCTCGCACACTCCAGTAATTGGCAAAAGCTAATTTGCTTCGCATTCAACACCCTGTACTAAACAATTACATATGTATGTATGCGCATACTTCTTAATGCATAAGCATTCCATTTTTAGTAGCAAAGCAGCTTATGCGACAGTGAACTTCGTGTGAAAGCTCTTACAGCGAAGCACTATAATTCGCTGCATTGAAAGTATGTAATTGCTTTAATGGAGTCTCTCTCCCCACTGACGCACTTAGCTGCAGCGCTGAATTTCTCCTGCAACCGAATTTATATGTTAATTCGCTTTGTTGTGTTACAAATAGTCACAGCTAATGAATTGTTTTCTCGCCTACTTCTTTATGCACACAGTTTCTTCCCACTGACCTTGGGGATGCGCCGCAGCAACTGAGAACTTCGCCTGTAAGCTCTAGCAAAGCGACACACTAAGTGGCTACTGGCCAAGCTTTTCAATGCCCATTTCTTTATTGTAGTGTGCCTTCGTGCGCTCTGACCTCGTCGGCACTAAAGCTTCAGCAGGCAACTTCGTATCGTCGTCTGCCGTTGGCAGCATGCGCCGCTTTAGCTTTAGGTCTCGCTCACTTTTCAGTCTGTTTGTGCCCGCGAACGCGATCGTAAGAAAGCAAATAAAGCAGAAAAACGGGTCGCATTCGAACTGGGATTCCGAATCGGATTCGGACTCACCTACGTTTTACGGTTTCGGTTCGCTTTTGTTATCGAAACCAATTGGAATTGTGCAACTGCGCTAATGATTTCGAATGTGCTACGTTGCCTATTAAAACAAAAGTAAAAGTGTGCGCGCCACAAGATGTGGCAAATGCTGCGCTGCTCATTGAAAGTGTATAAAAATTCGCATTAAAAAGCTTTTGTTGCTTTCATCTCCTATTCATATTGCGCGCTCAATTTGTGTATGAAAGAAGTCGCACAATACATAGAGTCCTTATATAACAAAGCAATAAATAAACAGTGAAGTGTTAGATTATTCATATCGTTTATCAATAGCCGTTACAGAAAAGCTGTAAAAATGTAAGTGCATTGATAAGAGTTTACTTCGATGACATACTATATATTTAATATTACGAGTTTAAAACAAAGAGAGTTCTGTTTCGCCTCTATTTTTACAACTCTTCAATTCAGCTGATAAATAGCTGCTCTTATCGAGCTTCTACAAAAGCGCTCATGTATATATACATATATCTCAGCTTCCTCTGATATCAAATGTCAATGGAAATTCTCTGATTCATACGAATTGAATTTGTTGTTCAGTTTTGCTCTGCTTTAATCTTGAGCCAGAAGACAGCCWCTCACACATATACATACATACGCAGAAAATTGATTTATTTGTTTGTTTTTTTTTTTACGCCCCTCTTTCGCAATTTACGTACTTTAGAAAGCTGCTAAAGACAAATAAAGGTTGAAACTTCTGCGAGATGCGCTGAAAGTTTTGCCCGCCGGCTAAGATTCGATGTCAAATTCGAAGTCAAGCCCAAAGTCGTAGACTACACGCAATAGATCACTTGAGATCTGACATAAATCTTTGTCGTTGACTCTTTTCTATTCAATTGTTTGTTTGTATGTTTTTATTTTTTTTTTCTATTTATCTATTTATATAAAGTTGATATTTGCTTAACATGTGTCAGTCGCAATCATTCAGCGCTTCCCGGTCGCATATATCTTCATGGTTATTGTCTTAAGTAGCTGAAAGTTCACTTGCGACAGTTGCAGTTGCATTTTGCAATTACACTGCGCAACAGCAATTTTTATTGCAAGTCTCTGAGCGAATATGTAAAGCGAATATATGGAAGCGAATAGCATAGTAGACAGTATGAATGAGGAAAAGAGAGTGACAAGAATCTAATGAGTGATTAATTTCGAATGATAAAATGTCGATCGTCAGCCCTGAAAGCTTTCAGGGTTAAATAGTTACACTCTATCCAAGTAAAAGTCTGCGAAATGGAAGGCAGAAAAATAATGATAAATCATCAAAAAATATGTAGATATCGAATTTCGATTAATCAATCAAAGTGTTAATTGTAATTGAGGCCATGAGAATCGCATAGAAAAGAGCAAAGCAAATAACAAAGAATAAACAGTAAGCGCAACGGGTTTACTAATTGGGAAAACATTTATAAACAAAATAGAGTTTATCAGACTTCATATTTCTCTGCCTGATTGTGTAGCCGAGTGTTGCTTACTTATTTAACAATTTCTTCCTGTCTCATTTCAAAAATAATATAAAAGACAAGCTGAGCAATATGGCAAACATGGGCAAGTATACGATGTTTGTACATAATCCATAAAGACAAATACAGAGACGTAAACTGGCCTCCAYTTGGATGTTGTTTGTTTGTTAATGTCAATGTAATTCTGTAATAAAAACATTTGCCAAGTCTCCGTTGCTTGTCGCTCGTTGCTGCTAACTAGTGATCATAATAATATAATAATATAGTTAATCATATAGTTATGCAGTCAAATGATATATTATAGACACGCACACGATATCTGACAAGACTTCACTTTCCATTTCCATTTGCAATGAAAGTCTCTTGGGAATGAGCACACACCAAATTTGTTCACAGCTTCTTTTCTTTTATTTTGTTTTTGTTTTTGATAATTATTTAGCTCAAGATTTGCATAACTATTCATGCCCATTGAGACGGCATGCAGGGTATATAATATGCGAGAAGAAAAAGAGCGTGGTTGGTTTCACGGGATATATATATGGTATGATTGATCATTATCGTTAGCTGAGTCGATCAAGCCGTAGTTACCCTTGTCTGTAAGAATCAGAATCAGAAGAAATTGCACAGCAAACTAACAACTTTTTTAACTACATCAAACTTTTGTTTCAGTTCAGTTTGATTCATCTTCGAACCTCGTAAAATAAAGACAATGAAGGTCGCATTTCCACCTTCTTCAGGGTATCTTGCAGTCGTGTATAGCCCATTACCGCACGTTCAATTGTTGTAACTAGATTTCTTGAAGCATTATTGTTGCCTTATAATTTGTCTATGCTGTGGGCGTCGCATATTCGTATAATTTTGTTGTATCTGCATCTATGTATCTCATAGATGCAAAATAATCTAATGGTGGGCGCGCTGACACTTTTTATTGACTGACTCAACGTTCAATTTAAGCTCGAATTAGCTTTATGCTAACGATACACTGGCCAAAAAGATAGCACTGAAATTTCCCAGAAATCGGTCGAATATATAGGTATTCTGACTTGCAAAAATAACTAAAAGAAAAATAAGTCTAAAATATTGTGAAACAGTCCAAAGCGAAATAGCAAAAGCAGCACGTTTTTGTATACCAAAGTTAAGATTAAAACCAAAAAGAAACATTTAAGTAAATATGTATATATGAATAACATGAGTAATAAGTATGTAGAAATGTTGTATACTAAAGAGAAGTTTCTACAACTTAAACTATAAATATTGTCTTTCATGTACTCAAAGAACAGTGTATAGGCTTTGTGCTCAGTATAGAGTAGAAGAGTCAAAGTAAAACATAATGAGAGAAGGAATATATTTAGATTCGGAATTTATAAATTGTTTTTTGAAGAGAGACTTTGCTTTAAGTTAGACATGCTGAATGAAAACTGTATATGGATCCTTTTAAAGTATTATCACAAACTCTTTTGCGATTCCTAAGATGTCAACAAGTTCTTACATACTTTTACGGGTGTAAGCTCATTTTGTTCAGATTGAAAATACTTTAGTTTGTTTTAAGATTTACAACCGACTCTGCTGCAAAGCTCAGCCAAGTTTTCCCTACGCTTTAGTATTTTCCCAGCTTATGTTATTTCCTCAATTTCTGTTGTATTAGCAGTTCTTTTGGTGAGTGTAGAGACTGACCTGTTTTTCCCCTGATCAACTTTAGTTTGTTTATTTTTTGTGACTTTTTTATTTGACTGGGCATTCCTGCGGCTGTGACTCATGATCATGATCATGATCGTGGTGCCGAAGAAAGCGAATCAAGTGCTGCATGCTGGACAAACTGTTTGCAAACCGGTCAGTTACAGTGCCTCACAGAAAAGTTTAGCCACGCCATGCCACGCACGTGGCAGCTGTTTTTCCCGCTCTCGAATTTTAATTTCGGATCCGTAAGCTCGTAAATTGTAGTAGTTGTCCATGTATTAATCGCACTTGTCAGACAATGAACTTTGCTTTCGCATACAATTCGCGTCAGCAATTTTTTACTAAGTGTACAGAAATATATATGTATGTATAAGAGTCTATATACGTATATATGTATATTTATGTGGATAAACACGTAATTGCTTTGACTTTTAACTAGTTTTTGTTATTTTACGAATTCCTAAATCAGCGACTAAATCCGATCAGCTGATTAACTGTTTAGTGATCATTTGTGCGTCAAATTATCATTTCTGATCAAAAATTCTTATTAATTTTGTGAAGTGTCTGTGATGAAGTCTGCGAATGACAATTGATCAGTTCCTCTACTGATCATTAATCACTGCTGATACGGATCGTTGATTGATTCGGCAAACTAATCTGTGATGAACTCTAATGGGATGATCGTGTTGACCACCAAGCCCTTTTATTATTGAACCTGTTAATGATCAGTGATCACTTCTTTCACTTTATCAATGACCAATTATGCGACGATCAGTAATAAGTTCAGCTACGAAGCATTGATAATTCATCCAACTGTTCAGCGATCAATTGCCCGTCAGATCACTGATCAATCTCAGCTTTCATCAGGTCTTTCGCTCTTATTCTAATTAAGTTGTCAGCCCCAATGATCATCAGGTGTTATTTTTATTCCTTTTCACAGTACTCAATTGATTTATGTTTATTTTTTGTGAAATTCCACATCGAAGTGGATTGTTTTTTCTGTGCTCATTGTTATGCATTTGGCATTTGGTTTTGGGCCAGTCGTGCGACAATGATTTCACATTGAATATATATGTATATAGTATAGTATTCTATATAGTTCAATGTTGTACAATTTGGCAGCTCTGAAACGATGTCAAATCGTGGGCGACTCAACTGTGGTAGCCACTCAGCTGGCCCAGAGAGTTCATTCAACGCGAACTAGTCATAAGATGAGCTCACTCCACATAAATGGACACATATGCCGTCTAATCTATAGCACCACTTGATAGAGACAGGTATTATAAACTTTATAATCTAAATGTGTGTGTGTGAGAAACCCAAATCTCAAGGCCGAATCTATGAATCGATAAGAACAGCGTAGAAAAAATATAGATATATATATATGCAGCTCTATGTTATATAGTGATGCATATACGGACGACTGCTCTGAATTGTATCGGTGGCATATTTTACTTCGAGTCATGCCATTTATATAGTTTTTAATTTATGTGCTCCACGCGTTAATTAGCTGATTTTCTATCAACTTTCTTCTGCTGCTTCTTGTTCTTCGTCTTCGGCTTCCTTTTGCGATTCGGTTTCAGTTAACTGATTAATCACGAATCATTGACCGTTGATCGCGTCAAGTACGTGGCGCACGGTCTCCCGCTTCGAATTGGACACAAATCACGTTTGAATTAGGTAAAACCCCTGGCCCTTCCCCTACCTGCTTGATTTACCAGAGACAAGGTCGAGCGCTTAGAACTCAGCCACAGGTGAAAATTTGCCGTATCATATTTAAGATTTTCAGTTCTCTGATTTCATACTTCCATTTCGATTGAGATACCCTAAGCTCAGAATGAAGTAGATTGTGTATATTATTTTGGGTGCTATTTCATGTGGCTGATTTAAGATTAAGATAAGTTAAAACAATTCATGAGTGAAGACTAACTTAGATTTACTTAATATGAAGTCAACGAAATGCTTCTCCAGTCGTGCATACCCCACTAATAACGCGCCAATTTGTTGCATGCGACATTTGGAAAGTTGTTTTTCTCAACGCAGCTGAAAGCTCGGATATATATTTCACCTGCTCAGCTGGGCAGATCTGAAAGAGTCTAAAATTAGACGCCAAATGGAAATTGTGCACTTCGTTAACGAGACCAATTAAAAATCCAATTAGATATTATGTTTTAAGAAGAAAAACATTATTAGCTAAGTTTGGAATCATTATAAATAAGCTCAAGATGAACTATTGCTATATGATATATGTATACATATCTGATCTATTAAAATACTAAAAATGTAGCTAAATAATTACCTCTGTTTTAGCTATGCTTTTGTTTTGATTAGGGAAAAGTTCACGTCGAATTCGGTAAGTGTTAACAAATGGCAATAATTAAAGCTCCATTTGAATGTTTTTTTTTTCTGCTCTTCTCTTGCTGCAAATGATGAATTGGCTGTGCTTCACATGTGGCAGTCGAATGGGCGGATGGGCGTGCAGGGCGTGGCGCAGATGTGGCGCACAAATGCAAATTAGTAAAGAGGCGTGGCCGAGAGGGGTAAAGGCGGCTAGCGAAGAGTGTGCAACAAGTGTGTGGCAACTGCAGTGCTAGCCGTACTTGTCGTTATTTCTTGCCACATGCTGTGCCCCACATGCCACGCCCGCCTGCCGCCTCTTAGGCCTTGTTTGGCTGCTGTTTTTGCAGTCTGTTTGAATTGAATGAAAATGAAAACCAGGTTTGCAGGTCGCTGTCGCTGTTTGAAGCTTTGCGAAATGTTCGCACAGTTTTTTTTTCTGGTTTTCTGTATTTCTGTTTTATTTGGCATTGTCTACGCTTTTTGATGGGCCTACTTGATGCCGTTTGAGCGCGTCTGTTAAATGCATTCCAATATTTCGGCCACCATAATAGCTTTAACAGCTCGGTATGGTCACCCTAAAACATGCTCTCTCTCGCTGCGTCTCACTCGCACACAAGAAACACACGAAAAAGCAAAAGCAATAAACGTTATATTGCTTTTGCGTTTGGGTTGTGTTTTTGTTTTTTGTGCCGTTTGCTTTGTGCAGCTGTCCGTTGAACTTGGCAAGAACTTGCAAGTCGAACGGGTATTCGATTTTTTTATTTTCTTATTTTTTGTTTTTGTCGAGTCTTTAGCGCGCTCTTCAGTGTGTGGGTCTGCTTGTGTGTATTAGTTTTTTTTTGGTGTTTGGCTTTCGTCACAAAACAAATCCAAAACTTGTTTCCGTGCGCGTCTCTAATGGGATTTACGCCAATTGTGCAGACACATTCCACAGAGGTGTGGAGCTTGAGATGGCAGCAGCTTTAAATCAATTAGAGTGCCCAGCGACTTAATTAAAATTTGTTAAGTTAATTAAAACGCTGATGTCTACAAGGCAAATGCCAATGAACGCAACACCAGCAATTGCCACAAAGAACAAGCGCTGTTTAAGCAGCAGTGCAACTTGCCAATTGTCAGTTGCCAGTTACAAGTTGCATCCGCTATGTGGGCAGATGAAAAGGGGTTGGAGGTGGCGTCGCATACTTGCGGAGAAATGCTGCGCAGCCAGCGCGGAGAGCATGAGCATAAGAATCAGAACAAAATGCAGCTAATGCACAGAGGAATGCGCAACGACGCAAGCGTAGACGTCGCGACGCTCACAGCGAAGTTGGTCGTGCTCTCTTTGCAGTAAAGTTGGCTCTGCTCTGCTTGCGTCGCTGCTCAGCTACTCAACGGCGGCAGCGGTAGCGGCAGCAGCAGCAGCAGCTTCGCTAGTCAGTTGGTCTTCACTCGTCGCTCGGTGCGGTCGTCGTTTCGTCAGTTTGTTAGGTCCGGGCGGCGCCTTTATGCGTGTGCTCGTTGTCGAGAGCTGCGCGCGCATATTAAACTGTTCATTTGTGTTTAATGTTTGTCTTCGCTATTGAAAATGATGTGCAATAATCGATGTAATCAAAATTTGGCACACACGGTGTATGTGTGTGTGTAAGGTGAAACGAAAGTGGCTGGCAAAAGTGAAACGCCCACAAAATCAAATTGAGCCAAGAATCTAGCCAAACCACTTGGCCACAAAAGCCCACACATATAAAAATAGTTACAACAACAACACCAACAGCWTCTGCACTAAAAATTTCACCAAGAACAGGCTGTGCGTGTGTGTATGTGTGCGAGGCTTGCCAAGCCTGCCAATTTGAGCGCCTGCAAAGTGTTTTTCTCTCTTCTGCGCATATGTTTTGTCTTCTTTGTGCCTAGTTGTGGATTATATATGGCAGCTTCTGGTGCTACTGCTGCTGCTTCTTCTTGCTCAGCTTGTACAGCTGTGGCCTGGCTTAATGGTAATTAAATGAAATGAGACTTTTGCATTTTGGTGTTATCTTTTTTCTTGCTATTCTTTAACTGTAAACTGCTTAGCTGTGACTTTTTTTGTTGTCGTCTTCTTATGCGTTTGGCCTCTGATATTGACCTCTGCCTGGCCTATGGCTAACGCTGGCCGTGTTGTGCCTACAGCACAGCTGAGCTCAGCGTTCGTTCATCTAACTGTTAGGCGGCAGTGGGATAGGCAGAGGCAGCGACAGGGACAGCGCAGCTACCGTTGTGCTAGCAGCAAGAAAGAGAGATAAGAACAAAGAACAAAAACTTTGATTCGGCGGCATTTGAATACGCTTCCTTTTGAATTTTTATGGTATTTTTTAAATTAATTGTATAATACATGTATATAATTGAATGTTTTATGAAAATCTATATATGTACATTCATATATAACAATCTCGGACTCAAATAATTGAAGCTAGAAGTATACTCCCTTTTGTGTTACATGTTTGCTAACAAATTAATAATACCCAAACTAAGGTTTTCCTTTACAAGCAACGTTAAGTTCAGTTTGCCAATGCTACACGCTAATTACACGCCTCTGTGCCTTATGCGGTCTCTTAGACTGCCTTCAGCGCCTACCACGCCCCCTGCTCAACCGGCGCTCCCCTGACTGGCTTTTGTTGCGGTTCTTTCTGAGTTTTTGCGAGAGCTACTAAAATGCTTGGAATGCAGTTAACTATATAGTATATACATAAATACATACATACTGATTTACACACATATGCACATTAGATAGATGCCAAAAACTTCAACTACAGATAAAATGCACTGGTATTAGCCCACAGTGTGTCTGGTTACAAATTGGAAATGTGAATAATTAGTTTATATCGGTATGTATATAATGTGTTTCGAAAGCACAAAAAATATACAAACATGAGTAATCCTCCACAGCTTATCAGTCTGTTTAGCTATTATACAGTTGTTCGATATGTAGATATATATTCATACGAACAGTCTCTGTTTATATATTTGGAATGCGGTTTTGCGCAAGAAATTGCATATTGGGTTTACCTTTAGAGCAAAAACTTTTAAAATCTTGTGTCCTTGAGTATAAACCCAACGAACTTTGAAATTGGATAAGGTAGACTTGTAAAATTTGGCATATATAAAGTTTTATTCAAAACGTAAAACTATTGAGTGTAACATATGTACATGAACATAGAGGTTATCGTTGATAATATGATATGCTGAACGCAAGGAATATAAGATCTGTATATATGTTGATTGGAGCTCATTTAGTTGGCTTTTGTATATTTCATATATCTATTAACTTTAAGAATCTACCTGATTTTTAATATGTACTGTATAACCTATTAAATACATATGATAGTTACATAAAACTATCTTTGGACTCTATATAAATGTTGTCTTTGAAGCATATTTCTATATGCAAGATGAACTTTAATTTTGTTGATTGAATTCGCTTGAAGCAAGGCGAAATAGCAGACATAAGACGGATGAATATATAGTGAAAACAGACACCGATAATACACATACAAAGAAACATACTTCACCAATTCCAAATCGCACAAAGCGAGCCGCAGACAAACAGCGAGACTTATGGAGAGGCCAGCAGATGTATATAATAAACGAGCAGATGTCATGCAAATAGGAACAAGCCCCCCGAGTGAAGGCAATAATGAAAACTATCGACCGTTGAGCCAGTCGCCCTTAACTTTTGATATTTGTTTACGCTAATTCAATGTGGTGTAAATCATACGCCGTGTTGACCAGCCCCAATGCGCGGCATTGACGGCTTAGGGTTGAATTTCCCTCACCATAATTTTTAGGGGTTGCCAACGGCCAGCAGAGTCAAGTTTTTTAGTTAGTCGGGTGGTTGGTGGTTGCATTCACCGTGGATCGGTTGTCGGGGCAACCAACGTTACCAAAAACAAATGCAAGTTTTCTTTGAATACATTAGACAACAAATAGTTTTCAGTCTTGGTCTTGGTCTTGGTCTTGGCTAGGCAGTGAGTGAAATGTGACGTAAAGTGTGATTAAACAACAGTAAAAATATGATAAATAAATGAAAGAGAATTTAGTATCAATTATGTGGAAACAAGCAGTAGGCAATAATACGCTCACTATATATAGATTTCGTCAACTAGCTTAAAATTAAAGGTCAGTTATAATGGATTTACGCTCAAGTGTGCCTTAAAGTCTATTGTTATCCTTACACTGTTGACTATAAGCATAATCTTTATTTGTTTGTTTGTATTATAACGTATAACTAACAAATTCGGTAAGCCTCATTTATGCTCTATATAAGAAAAAGAAAATTAAATAATTATACAAATCATTTCCTTTCAAGAACTTTCCTATGTAGACTTAACGTAGTCTGTTAGCAGCATATTGTTAAGTATAAGAAAAAATAGGTAATAGAAGAGTAAAAGTGAATGCTTTAATCCATTTAAAATCATTTTCTTAGTTTTATCTGCCTTTCTTCCTTATGTATTAGTTGGAAAAGAAATTAAGTTAATATTCAAGCATTTCGTTGGTTTCTTAAATGCAAGTCGTCATCTACACTAAATCTTTAGCGAGACAGTTCATTAGCTATCCGCAGTATTAGTCAAATAAGCCGAAAGATAGAAGAATAAAAAACAAAACAAAAGGCCCTAAAGAAAAAGAAAAGTAAACTTTCACAATTTTTAATGAGTATTTCTTCCAGTCAAACTTAAGAGTTTCAGATTTGTCTCAGCAGCTTCTTTGCTTTAATATCAATAAATTGTGCCTGAATTAATTTATTGAAATTTCTATATAGTATA